GCCGGACCGCGCAGGGGGACCGCTGCGTGGCCGCCTGCCGGACCGCGCAGGGGGATCGCTGGGTCCCGGCATCCCGGGCTTCGCCGGGGCACAGATGGGTTGCCGCCTGTCGGACTGCACTGGGGGACCGCTGGGTCGCCGCCTCCCGGGCAGGAGGCTTCTCAGAGCCTGGAAGAAGAGCAAAGACAGGAGGTCGCACCTGTGTCCCACATACTCTCCACATAAGGAGTTACCCCTTCGGGCTGCGGGGGTTGGAGCCCGGAATCTGAGAGAACGAGGTCAATTTGCTCCTCTGGATCCCTTGCAAAGAGGAAACCTTCTTCCAGTCGAATTAAGAGGATGAGACCGCTGCCCCGGCACAGCCAGGACGCACCAGAATCCCTCCCAAGGAACCCAGGGCCTGCCTAGGTACCTTTCATTGTTCCCGGCCCCGTAATTTGCGCCCGGAGTTGGCGGTGATAGTCAGCCAAGTTCATGATCATCGTGTATACATCCTTCTGGTAATAAGGCCGTCCAAATATCAAGATCTCAGCCTCGCCGTCCGGGTCCCACTGATTAACGTGAAGCAGGGTCTGCGACACACACTCGACATGTGGGATGTGCTCTCCGCCCAGGCCTGCGCAGGAAGCAACGAGGTGGTGAGCAGTGGGGCCTGGGAGGGGAGGCAGCGGGGGCCCGGATGCGAGCCAGAGCCGCGAAGAGGCTGCCTGGGCGGGGCCAGCCTGCGGTGAGGGGCGGCCTCGGCCTCACCGCTCGGGCCCGCTCACCGAAGATTGCTTCCACCAGCCAGGCCTCCAGGTGAACTGCCCTCGGACTCTTCAGGTACTCGGAGTGAAACCAGTAGGGCCGCTTGGTGAGGTTACCGAGCACCTCGAAGAGCGTCCCTTCTCGCTGCTCCAGCTGAACAAGCGTCGGAAACCGCTTGGGGGCGGCCATGCCGCGGCGAGCCTCGCAGGGGGCTGTGGGTCCGCTGCCAACCGCCGGCCGCGCGTGAGACCCGCCGCCGCAAGGGTCCCCCGGTCTTATATCCAGGGCTTTCGGCAAGCCCCTCCCCCACCCGCGCCCTCCTCATTGGACTCCAGGCCTCGCCTCCGAAGCCCGCAGCCGGGGCTCCTTCCCCGCAAGGCGCAGCTGCGCTGGGGCGCGCGCCCAGGGCGCTCTCGCTGGGCGGTAGCATCTGGATCCTGCCGCTTCCCCGAGCGCCAGGCTAGAGGCCACAACCGGGAAGCTGCGGAAGCCTTAACTGTGGACGCTGGGCGGCCAGGACAGCCCCGGAGACGTAGGGAAGATCCAACGTCGGGCCGACAACTTTCAGAGGAGCGAATCGGTATTTGCAGAGACCCGGGTGCCTTTCAGACAGTTCTAATGGGACCAGTTTAGCGTTCCCGAGGCGTTGGAATAAATTTTAATGGAAAATCTAAGTACGTCGGAAAAACGAACGCTCAAGGAGCAGAAAAAGGTATTCGGAGGCCAAAGTAAGCCCCTCCCCACTTCCTCCTGAACCCTGACCACTGAGCACCCTCCCCAGATGCCACTGCATTTCACGCTTCGGCCTTAACCTGTTAGAGACGGCTGCGCACACCCAACAGCGCCTGGTCCGTGTGGTTTGCACCCCAGAGGGAAATCCCTTGAAAGTAACACGATTATAGCTCCATTTCCTGATTTTTCTGTGCAGCTGAAAGCATTGCCTATTAACTGCGGCCCAGGAAGATGAAGGTACATAGCTCTCCCACCAGTGGTTGGCGTATCATGCCCAGATCCAGCGGCCAGAGAGCCTCGGAATTCAGTCAGGCTCCTTCTTGTTTGCTCTGTGGCCAAAGAAGTGCATGAGAAATTTGCAGGTGTCTGACAGGGTTAAGTCTTCAGACCTAAGCAGAATTTGAATTAGGAGCCAAAGAAGGGCTCCATTCAAAGGATCCATTCAAAGCCTCACGGATGGGATAGACATATAAACGTCCGTGGGTAGACAGAACCATTAGGAGAGTGTATAACTGAAACCCAAGGATCTGGGCTCCGTCACCACCTCCCCTGTAGGTTCTGGGGGCCACTAACATAGCAACTAGAAATTGACATGTGAGGCCCCATCAGTGTCACCAACGAGAATCCAATTCAGGAAGCATCCCCATGAAAATCTCCAGTCTGAAATCTGTTTCTTATATCAAAATGATATAGGATGATTTTTTTTTTCCTTTGGCCACACAGCATGCTGGATCTTAGTTCCTCCACCAGGGATCAAGCCCTGCTCCCTGCAATGGAAGCACAGAGTCCTAACCACTGGACCCAGGGAATTCCCTAGACGATGATATTTTTGTTCCTTGGTTGGCCTAAGAGGATACTGGCAGTTCTATGCGTGTTAATGTCATTTGTGTGTGTGTGTGTGTGTGTGTGTGTGTGTGTGTGTAGATCCTTTACTTCACTGAAGTTTCAAAATTGGGTAAAGAAATGCTTAAGAGAATTAAAACCATAGTATTAGTAATTGTGTTAAAAAAGAATCTGTCATTTATGTAAAATCCTAGAATATGCAAACTGATCTGTAGTGATAGAAATCAGGGAGTGATTGTCTGGAGATGGGGTGGAGAGAGGAAGGGAGTGGAAAAAGGCACTAGGATACTCTCGGGGGATGATGGAAATGTGCATTATCTTGATTACAGTGGTGGTTTCGCTGGATGTGTCTATATGTCAAAACTGGTCAAATTGTACACATTTTAGTATAAGCAGTTTATTGTACTTTAGATATTCTCCAAAGTGGTTTAAAAAAAGAAAGAAATCCATATACGCGGTGTTTTAGGTTCCTGTAATATTTTAGATAATTCAACATATTAGAGAGACAGTTTTGCAACTCCAATTGAAAATACATAATTAAGTAATGGATTTAGATGTGTGACTTTAAGATGAAATCCTAGTTTATATTCAATACTGGATCACTGAAGAGAACTTCGGGTTCAACGTATTAATGTTTCATTTATTTGGTTTGAAGGTATTAGTAATTGGGAAGTTCTTATTTGTTATTTGATTAAAGTACTTTGCAATCTTTTTGCCATGTGTGAGGATGTTTAGTTAATTAAATATGTCAGTGGGACCTTGTGTCATTCAGAGGCCATTAAACATAATTGTTAAAACTTTCTAGGCTTATGAATAGCATAGTAAGATTTGAAAGTAAAACTTGAAAGCTTAAGGGAGGACTGGTGGTTTGGTTTTTATAATTTGAGAAAATAAAATATTAATTTTCCAAGAAGTCTCTAAACACTCTTTTGAGTGCACAGAATTCACTCTCACAGAAATCATTCTCAACATCTTTCACTGTCTTCCTCCAGCTTACCTAGACTCATGAGACCTGGTATCTTCCCAGTTCAGTTATACAATTTTGTTAGACCAGTATTCAAGTTTATACTATTGTGGTCTTGTAAACAATATTCATAGCTGCATATAGTTTACTATGATTTCTTGCACAAACTTTTGTTTTTCTTGATGTTATAAATTCCTTCTTTGTTCAAATACTACTTTTTATTTTTTCAAATGCTTATTTGTCTATGTACTCCTTCATTCGCAGACTCTCCCCAAATGTGTAAATGTCTCTCCAGGACTTCCAGTGGCACGGCAGGCTCTTTATCAGTTCATCCTCACAGTATTGCTCCTGCAGTCTTTTATTTCTTTTTTAATTGAAGTATAGTCGAGGTACAATATATAAATTCCAGGTGTACAATATAGTGATTCACAATTTTTAAAGTTATACTCTAGCTCCTGCAGATGTAACTGCTTTTATCTAAGCCAGCTACTCTCTGGGACCCCCTGTGGATTACTAGAGCCTTTTCTAGTAAGGCTCTCTGGATGCCATGACTTACTTTTTATTCTTGCTTGTTTTTTTTTTTAAGTTTATTTATTGTATTTTTTAATTTTTTTGGCTGCGTTGGGTCTTCGTTGCTGCGCGCAGGCTTTCTCTAGTTGCGGCAAGCGGGGGCTACTCTTCGATGTGGTGCGTGAGCTTCTCGTTGCAGTGGCTTCCCTTGTTGCGGAGCACAGGCTCTAGGTACGTGGGCTTCAGTAGCTGTGGCACACGGGCTTAGTTGCTCCACAGCCTGTGGGATCTTCCCGGACCAGGGCTCGAACCTGCGTCCCCTGCATTGGAAGGCGGATTCTTAACCACTGCGCCACCAGGGAAGCCCGCTTGTTTTGTTTTTTATATTTTGGAGTAGTGGTGATAGCATTCAGGCAAAAATTATTAAATTGATACAGGTATAATCATGTTCAAGATGATCCTCGTGGTTTCTAGTGTAACTTATCTTTCCTACTTTCTTTCTTTCTTTTTTTCTTTTTTTTTTTCCTGCTTTGTTTCTGATTAGCTTCCAGGAAGCTGGGAATGAACTAACTGAATTCCAGGAAGGAAGCAGAAAATTAGAAGCAGAATTGCAGGAAAAATTGGTACAGGCTGAAGAAAGAAATAGACACTTGCAGGCTGATAACCAGACTGAAATATGAAGTGGAAGCATTCAAGGTAATTGTGGTAGTAGAAGCTGGTGTCTACTGTGCCGGGTTGATGAAAATGAGAAGTACATTTTTTCAGGTGGAGCTTAAGAGCAGTGGGCAACAAAAAAAAAATGTAAAAGCAGGTTGCAAGTGAATTTTTGAAATAAAATGTTTTATTTCGTGGAACCAAGGGAAAGGTGGTTTAGAGTTTAGAAGTTCACTTGGAAACCTCATAGCTGTCAGTTTTCTAGCTATAATGTTTCTAGGTATAATATTGTATCCCTGTAATTTTCAAAGGCTGTCTGATTATTTGACAATAGATTGCTTCATTCTATAGTACTTGAAAATTGTACATATATGTGAAATATGCATTTATTTCATCGTTGTTCGTTATCTCCTCAGTTTTGGAGTCTAGTTTGGGTTAAAATATTAGCTTTAAAATGAAATTTTCAACAGTAAAAGGATTAATCCCTTTCTTTGCACTTCACTACCTGCCTTAGCCAAATGCTTGGGAGTGTTTCTGTGTCCAGGGAGTGGGTGGGTTTGGGGAAGGTGGGGAGGTCCGGTAAGGATAGGGAATTTGGACTCTGAGTGGTAGTCTACCCTGGGCTTACCCATGCTGCATCTAGCCTGAGAACCCAGAGGTTCCCACACCAAGTTCAGGGTTTTTGAGGCAATGCTTTCATTATTTTACTTCTCTTCAGAGAGAGACTTCCTTTCATTTTGATGAAGCCAGTCCTCTGTCATTTCCTAAGGAAGAATGCATGTCTGAAAATATTTTCATTCTATTTGCACAGCTAATTGGACATTTGGCTATAGATTCTTGACTAGAAATAATTTTCCCCTCAAAATTTCATGGTTTGCTTCAGTGTCCCCTAGCTTCCAGTGATGCTTTTGAGAAGTTTAAGCCTTTCTGATTTTAACCTCTGGGAAATGTTCTAAAATTAGTTTGTTCATCATTTTTTCGCATCTGTTTTGTCTTACCTTTTTCTAGAATTCCTGTTTATTCAAAAGTTGGCCTCTGCATCCATATTCTTCCTTTTTAAAAATTTTTCACCTCTTTGCTTTATGCTGTTTGGGGTTGTCTGGTAAGCACTAAAGCTTGGGAACTAAGTGGAAGCTGGAGCATGGGGGTTTGTCTGCACCAGACATGGGCTGAGGGCGGTGTGCAGTCTCTTAGGTTTTCCCGCCAGGTTCTCCACTGGGTTGGCCGTCCCTGGAGAGGTTGCAGGCCCATCTCTGCGTTCCTTGCAGCTGTCCTGCTGCCCACAGTTCGTCCCTGCACTTGGAGCTGGTGTCCCAGACCACTTTGCAGGCGAGAGTGAAGACAGGCCTGTGTATTTATGACCGTTAGCTTGGCCAGCTCTCTAGCCCCCATGTCCCACACAGAGCGGGCTGGGCGAAGGGAGGGAGGGGCCAGGAAGGGATCCCCAGCCTGGATCCCCTTGCCTCCCGTCCCCCCAGCCGGAGCCCACCCCAATCCCTCA